GAAAAATTGCTTAGTAAAAATATTTTATAACCAATCTGATTCACTGAATGAGCTTAATACAGATTATCTCTAAATAGACAAAGGAAGAGCTAATGAATTTCAACAGATATGAAATTAAAATGATGAATTCAGGAGAACTGAAAATAAGATTTTCACTTCCTACACTCAATCAGCAAGTCAAGTTATATTTATCTTCCAAATAAATTATCTGTTTCTTCCTCTTTGCTCTCTTTGTAACTACTCTAGTTCTGACCATCATCTCTTACCTGAATTTATACAATGGTACCTAGCTGATCTTCTTACCTACCATTTATATACCACTTCTTCAACCCAACCCCCAAATTCCTCTTTCAAGACATCCATAACAGTGCTGTAATTCGTACAGCAAAGTCATATATATTTACTTTCATGCATTCACACAGATACATACACATCTTCAATATCTTTTGATTGCTCAGTAGGACAAAACTCAAAATTTCTTAAATGTTGCACATAAGAGCCAAAGTCTACCTATCTGGCTAATGTCATATCCAGTCACTTGCCCACATAAACCCTTGAAACATCACATTATACTTTTTTTTTGGATGGGAAGGGAAGGTTTAAATTCACATCATATTTTTATGTCATTCTTCACTCTATGCTAACTTTAGCCTCCTGGTTAACATATGTTATAGACTGAATTCTGTCCCCCTCAAATTCCTATGTTGAAGCCCTAACCCCTAACATGATGGTATTTGGATACAAGTCCTTTAGGGAGGTAACTAAGGTTACATGAAGTTATAAAGGTGCAGCCCCAGTTCCATGGCATTGATGTCCTTGTAAGAAGAAGAAATACAACACAGTACTCACATGCACCAGCTCTCCACCACCTTTCTCCCTCTCCCCTTTCTCTGTCCATCTCCCCCTCCCTATGCAAGCACAGAGGAAAGCCCATATGAGGACACAGCGAGAAGGTGGCCACCTTACAAACCAGGAAGAGAGTCTTCACCAGAAAACAAATTTGCCAGCACTTTGACCACCGACTTCTGGCCTACAGAACTGTGAGGAAATAAATATCTGTTGTTTTAGCAACCCAGTCTATGGTACTTTGTTACAGCAGCCCAAGCAGACTAATATTAGGTCATTAAATATAAAATGTCTGATTCCAAGTGAAAAGTTTAGTTTATTATATCTCAAGCAAGAAGCAGTACAATTAATCAAAGTGTGTACCTAAACTATCGACACAGTTTTGCCATCTTAATGGTAGCTTGCTTATGCCAGCAACAAAGAAGCCTAGAGACCAAGTGGCGATGAAATCGCGACAGCAGCCCAAGCAGACTAATATTAGGTCATTAAATATAAAATGTCTGATTCCAAGTGAAAAGTTTAGTTTATTATATCTCAAGCAAAAAGCAGTACAAT